TAGCGCAAGCAGAGCTATTTTCATCCATAAGGCAACAGACATTCGGTGTCCGGTCTATTGCGATACAGGGACGCGAAGTACTCTATTAGTTTCCGCTTTCCGGGATATTAGCAAGATAGACACGTGATGCAAAATTGCGATGCGTCCGGACATTTTTAATCGATTAACCGTAATTGTTTTGTTTTACTTTGAACTATTGAAACTTCCGAGCGAGTATTGTGAATGCACTACACTTATAATAACATGTTCTATGATCCGTGTACAAGTCCTATAAATAAAAAAAAACTTAAAATGCTAAAACCTTTATTCGAGTATCTTAAATATATTGTTAAACATTTTCTGAAAACCTGTGTCGCGAATTTGCAATACCCAGTCGTAATATATGCTAAGATTGGTCTCTTATTTTGGCCTCTTATTATTTATATATATATATATATATATATATATATATATATATATATATATATATATATATATATATATATATATATATATATATATATATATATATAGACGTGTGTTTGTAATCCCTGTATGGAATGATAAAGAATTCTATTTCCTTTCAAAAGAAACTAATGAGTGTCATTTGACATTAATATCAAAACAAAGTTCACATACATTTAACTTTTAGAGTCAAGGTTAATATATGTAATGCATTATCTAATATATACATATTACAGTTATAAACATGGTTTTACATAATCAGAATTAGCATAAAAAATGCGCTAAAGTATGAAATACCGAATGGGGTAGTCAAATGTAATTTGTCATTTATTGCCGTTGTGAAATGTACCTACCTAAAACAATTTGGCCACATTTCAATAAGCATATATGAATTGGCGGACTCACTACCTTTTTTATGTTAGTAATACTTAAAAAATATTTATTAATTGATGCTTTATTATACCAATTACAAGAATTAATAAATACAGAAAATGGCTTATGCGAAATGATGCAAAAGTGGCCTTACTGCTAAGCAATCTCTTCCAGATCACTTTCAGGTATGAATACCTAGAGAATATTAAGAAAAAATCAAAGGATAAGTGACGCACTATTATATACTAATATGTACATATAAAACCAACATGTTAGTCAAATCGTATGCAGGAAAATCTCCATCAGTAAAATTATGGTTACTCACAGGATGTATATAGAATTAATAATTTAAAATAGCGTTTGACAAGACTCTGATTTTAATAATATAAATAAATAATATAAAATCAATATAGGAGAAAATTTGCCGGGTGATCCTGGCGTAGAGTAGGCCACTTCTTCCTTTCCCGTGAGTGTTGTAAGAGGCGACCAAGGGAACTTAATGTTTTAGGACTAGGTAGCGGCATCCTTTTTTAAACATCACCAAAGGCCTGGCTGTAGTTACCAATCCGTCTGCCAAGCGGGACAACTACTAACGAAAACCCCTTATAGGGAGGCCTATATTGATAAATCTCCTTTTAAAATCGTTAAAATATAAACAATTAGGTCCAATCGGAAGTGTAGATAAAAAATAATTTACAAACTAAATAAAAAAGTCGGTTAAGAAAAGAAAAATAATTGTTAAAGAATACAGCACGACACCACTTAAGTGAATTAAATTAATGAGCGATCGTCCCGCTCAATTAATTTGGCATATCGATTTCCTACGGACATAGTTCGAGCGAGTGGCGGTTGCCGGTGGTGAAGCAAGAGCGGTCAAGGCAATCGGCAACTTGACAACTCGCATATTATTGGCAACCCAGAAATAAGATCTAACTGGCGAAGATGGAAACTGCTTTCGCAATCGCCCCGCCCTAGGGCTGGTTTATATGGTGCTGTGGGTTTGTGATTTATCTAAAAAAATTTCGTATTAAAAAAAAAATCATAACTAAACGAATGAATGATATATGAATAAATAAATAAATATCAACTAAACAAAAGTAATGTAAATTAATAATACTACTTGTATATTATTTCTTCTAAAATTTTACAAAACCCATCCAACTCTTGTCTATTCTAGAATTACACTAAAGACAGAAGTTTAATAAAAACGTATAGATCATCTCATTAGTAGAAGCAAATTATCACATTTTAGTACATATGTAATTTTAAATAAATTAATATTTCTATGACATTTCAAAGGAATATAGTAAAAAGCGAGATGAAAAAGGGATATTTGGAAGGAATATAAAATCAGTCTGTTACAGTCAGTTCCAACGTCTGAATTTTTATTAGGTAAATGTCTATCATTTCTTGTTTTTTTTTTCTACAACTTAGAATGGCAAACAAGCTGATGGCCCATCTGATGGAAAGTAGTAACCGTCGCCTATAGACATGAGTAGTACCATGAACATAACAGAGTATACTGTTTCGCCCATGATACGCCCCATGCGTTGCCATTCCTGAGGATTCAGGTGTTATTCCTCTATACCCAGTAAATTCACGCCATATCCCACCCTTCAAACCGAAACACAGCCATGCAAACACAACTGCATCACGGTTGAAACACGAATGAGACAGAGGTACCCAAGCAATCGACTTTTGTACAACACAATTTAAATTATAATTAATTTAGTATTAAGTAATTTATTATTAAACGTAGATAGATAGATAGATACTCTTTATTGTTTCCTCCAAAAGATTACAATAGTAAACTTATTCTACAAATTAATATTTATTAAAGTACGTGGGTATTTTTTCAATTATATGGTACCAGTTTGTAGCACTACCGTAACCCATGCACAATATCAATCCACTCTTTACTGCCTACCATTTACATTCATTTAATCGAGCCTTCAATAGTAATTATGCAAATACATAATAATGCACACACAATATACGTGTTATATTATTACCACAAACATTATATGAGTGTCTATATATACAATAAAATAGCAGTGGGTATTTTTTTGTAAAAGTATTTACAAAAAAATACCTTTATATATATATTATTATAATAGATTATTTTAATATTTCTCTCTAAAAGAAAACAGTATAAAATTACTATGCCACCATAATTGTTTCCATAGATAATAAAAAATATAATTAAAGATTATGTCTAACAAAAAAAATACATATAGATATGTGACAAAATAAGTTATTTCAATCTTAAAACTAAACTACTGAACCGATTTTGATAAAATTTCTATTTGATCAATCTGTAAGTATATTCTTTTAGATAAAAAAAATTCAATCGATTTACAACCGACGGAGTTATGAAGCATAAAAAAAATACAATCAAATTGAGAACCTACTTCTTTTTGAAGTCCGTTGGAAATGGGAGCATTCCATTGCAACAAAAAATTATCAAAATTGGCACGGATATGGTATAAGTTATACACATAAAAATACCTTCGAATTAAGAACAACAATATTTGTAAAATTGCTGGGAAATTACAGACAGAAAACACTGACCTATATAAATAACTAAAGATTCACCCTGGCTTCGAACAAGTTTAATTGTCTACTTAAATTAAAAAAAAAAGTTAATTAGAGTGCATAAAACATATAGATTATCTGTAAAATAAATGTAAATGATAATTTAATCCGTATCAATCCATTGCTTGCGTTAAAAGAAATAAGCGGTGAAACAAACTCACACAGCCACTAATATGTTTGTGTATATTAAAATAAAATGAAATCATTTACTAAAGTACTAAAATAAAAAAAAATAGTATAATATAAATCCAATAGGAATGTAGGTATTTATAACTTCCAAACGAAGCGCTGTTTAGAAACATCTTACATGCGTACTCGAGACTGTTTTTATAACGGACTCTGAGAATTGTCAATATCCATACAAACAACGTCACGAGTAGATGCTAGTTTTAAATAATTATAACTATACATGCAGTTATTACTGGTAAACTGTAGAGTCAATTTGCGTACAACTTGCACATTTAATTTTGCCTTGAAAATGTTTATGCAGTACACTAGCTAGTCTATGTGATCGATCAATAATATTAATATGGCAAAGCACAGTACAGCATAGTCTCATGCAATTCCGTGAGAAAAAAAATTGTGAAAATACAGCTGAAATGTGGCCATAAATCAGAGATCTAACTGAATTCTTCCTAATATTATAAGTATATCTATTGGCGACTGGCCAATGCAAACTCTTTAAACATTATTATACTTTTTTATATACATTTATTTTTAGAATGTTCTTATTATTTGTAATTTCAATTTTATATTTTTTGACATATATCATATTGTTCTGTTCTGTTCCTTGCTTGCTGTTTAATACATTTATTTCGCTACTAAATTCCGTGTCTACATCATTTCATCACCTCATCACAGTCCACCGCTCCTTAATAATACCTAAAAGTGAATTTTGTTTGTTTCTTACCTCTTGGCGTCTTAACGGATCCACTAATGGTCATTGAATTTAATGAGTATACATGCAGTTTGGGGTGCAGAAGAACATAGGTTACAACTTATCGCGGTCACGCGGACAAAGTCGCATAAAAAGCTAGTATTTAACACTTTTAAGATAATCTATCAATTACGAGACAATTCCGAGAATTTTTTACAAAAATATTGTAAACTTTGAACTCGCGATGCCCAAATTAATCAAAATGGCACATAATTTGAAAAAGATAAAAACATTCAGGTCATCGGCCAGGTTTTTCTTTGTAAAATAAAGAACAAGTTTAAAATCTAGCGACAAAAATACAAAAGAGAGAGAGAGAGAGATTTACCATCTAATTTTGTGACGCTTAAAATGTGGTTGCTCCTGAAATATTTTTAAAGGCAAACCCAACACGCTGCTATTTGTTGATTTATCTACATTGAATGTACATGTAACGAAAACATTTTGTTATAATCATAACAATGTAATTTTTTTCTTCTTTCATACACTTTTTCTTTTACCTATGTAAACAACTATAAGATCAAGCCCAAATTTATTCACGTCGTACAATCTGTGATACAAATATATACATACATAATATAATAAGATTGTAATATCTACAATGGAAAAATAATAAAATAAGGAAAAGATTTACTATGAAATCAGTACACATTAAAAAAAAAAAAACTTATTTATTTACAATATTGATTACAAATGAGTAATGAGGTAAAATATATTTTTGTTTATTAATGGATAATCAATATCACACACGTATTTAAAAAAAAATCCTTTGCATCTTTTTAAAGTTACTGCTTGAGATTTATAAATTTAATAATTACCAAACACAGATAAAGAATATTATCAACCCTATCTATGCCTTATGGTTAGTAAAACATTACATTTTTTTTTTCACAATTATAAATTGTGTATAGAACACACTACGAACTTATTGTATAACGAAGTGTAGCAACGTATGTAATGCCTATCAATTTTCAAAAATAAGTCAACAATTTATCAATATACTTGAATACTTATTTGAAAAGTGATCTTATACTCACTTTTTAAGAAAATCTGTCGGTAATATTGAAAATTATTTGTTATAAAATAGATATATCAGACGTTGCCACATTTCACTATAAAACAAAATATTAACGTCAAAAACATTAAGTGCTAAATAAAAACATTAACAATAATCACAGCTGAGTTCTGCATCTGAGTACATACTGTAATACTGTAATTTGAGATTAATATATGGATATTAAGTAAATGAACTAAATTATAGAATTTAGAGTCATTTTTCCATAGACTTAAAACTAAAACGTATCAATATAGTCTCAAAAGAAATATTCATATAAAAAAAGAAATTCTAATTGCAGTACTTTATAAATTTTCAAGTCATATTTATACTCAGAAAAAGAGTTGTATAACTTACGTATATGTATATGTTTCATTTTATACAGTTTGAGTTCATTTTAAATAAAATCATGTGAAAATTACAAAAAAATCCTACATTGAATTTATAGATATTAAAACGTCTGTGTATTAAAATCAAACTCAAAACTGTATTATATGTTCCATGTCTACAAGTGATGGTTACCACTTTCCATCAGGCGGTCCGTCAGCTTGTTTGTCATTCTATTTTGCTTAAAAGTACTTATATATGCATTACGTAACAAAAAATTTATATTATTTACTTTACGTTTTTTTTTTCAACAAATAATTTTTGATCAAATATTTTAAATTAAGGTTTAGGCAAGACTTCGTCGTAAGCAATACCATCTACCACTTTATTGGATATCTCTAGTAGTAAATCAGAGACCGTTTTCTCGATAGTAGGCTTGAGTACTTTTATGAAATCGCCTCGGTTCTGGTTAAGGGCTGCATTAGTGGCATCTCCTGGAAATTCAATATATCAAAAAATTAGTAATAGAAATAATATTAATTACGACCTGCTTCAAAATAATATATCCCAGGTAGCAAAGTGACGTCTGCGAATCAAATAAGAAGTCCATTTTAAATTATTTTAGAGTCAGTGACTTAAATCGACGTTAACGTGATGAATAATTGCTACCTGATATATAGTAATCAGTTTTATACTCGTTGTTTTACAAATAAGAAAAGTATTATATAAGTTTAATTATAATTTAATTAACAATCAACCGTTTTAACGAGAGATATGCTTTTAAAAAGGACTGTATATTTTTAACGAAATAATAAGACGGTCGCTGCTTGTGGTAGAGAAAAATGCAATAACGCAATCATGACATTGTCAGACATCGAATTGGCCAACAATTGTAAATATTTTAACTCTTTACTTCAGCTACTAGCTATAGGCATACTGTAGCTGTTTTCTTGTAAATCTGTTGTGTTCTATGTATTTGGTTTATCAATATATTAAATTTTATTCAAATCCAATACAAATTCAAAATGATTGAGTAAAAACTTTCATGTTTTTAATATTATTATAATTAATAGAATAATATGAGTAGGATTTAGAAATTTTAATAAAACGTCAATCTGTTTCTGCAGAGGTAATCAGAGGTTCCATAAATAAGGTATAACTTGATATAACATACCTAAAGCTTGGTCCCCGTTGAAAAGTCCATCTACTCTGATAGAATAATCCTTTATATTGATGTTATCGTCCAATTTGGTGAACCTTAAATACTCGACACCGTTTTGTTCGTAGATTTCAGTGAATATAACAACATCCGCATCACATTTCACTGAAATATTAAAACAAATGATAAGAAAAAAGTGAGGAAGTGGGAATAATACTAAAATAATTTGTTTTAATAACATTATTATTGTATTTCGTCGTCATTATTTCAATTGTCAAAATAAGTATCTGTAGAGTGGCCGGGTGGACGATGTCCACCTCAGAATAATTTGGTATCCATTCCAGGATCCAGGGGTACAACTTTCAGCTATACGCAAAAACATGCCTGAGAATTAATATCAGATGATAATCGATTTTATGTAGTCCATTCTTACCGGCTTCAATCTTAAGATTTCCTTCGCCACGGAGCGGCAATCCCAAAATTTGGGCGTCTATCTTATAAGCGCCATCTATGTGCAGTTTCGGAACACGTAGACGGACCTTTATTGTCAAAGTATCCAGATCCACGCTGAAATTATACACAATAAATATAATAATAATTGAATTAAAAATAGGTAAGTAATTATATTTCTTTTTTTTATTTTTACTAAGATTTCTTTTAAGATAATTTCGCGGCTGGCATTTAGCCACAACAATCAGTGTTTTACTATTTTAAAGGCAAAGCAATAGCGCACAATGAAGAGATAAATTTTTACTTTTTTTATGTATTTTCCTATTTTTGTACATGTATTCTTTTATCTCTTTTTATTGTGTATGCCTAACTATGTCTGTTATTATTTGTGTGCTGTAAGTAAAGCAATTAAATTATATATCTATCTAATTTAAATACTTTTTGTTATATAACAATATATTAGGGTCGTTTCTGACGGCCATTCTTTAAACTTATCCCCAAAATTAATATTTCAGTTTGATATCACAGCCAAATCTTTTTTCTAAGAACTAAGGTTATAAATGCAGAATTTTGTATAGATGCATGGATGTTTGTTTCTCTTTCAAGCAAAAAGTATTGAATAGATTTGAATTCAATTTGGCACACGGATAAGTTATATCCTTACTTAGCACATTTAATATTTTATGTACACAGACAAATTTGCGGAAAGTAGTTAGTATGAACAAAATTTAAGTCAAAATTATTATAAACTTAGATTATGATGATTCATAAAATAATACTTTCGCAAAAATCTGGAACCAATATATTATTTTAGGGATAAGTTTAAAGAATGGTGTCGCAGATTGACCCCACTGGCGAACTAGTAGACAACATGAAATGCCTTGATTCCTTAAAGTTTACACAGAAGTTTCTTAATTATTTTAGTGAATAACTCTGCCTATTCTGATAGTATATGTCGGCAAGCGCTACCCCTTTCTGGTATGACGATAAAATCAAGTCGGCCTATCGTATTGAATTCAACAAAAATGATCTAAGATGATGGTTACTAAGAGAGACCGTTGTTGTTAAGGTGAACAAATATTGCTATAAATTTTTGACACATTTCATTTACAATAATAACTTATTTATACTATTTTATTATTATATTTTAATTGTTACATAATCAAACATTTTAGCTCTATCTATTGACTAATAAAATGAAACATGTTTCGATTGGTATTGCTTCATTATTTATCCACGTCACGTAAGCATCAGCTGTACATAACTTAGAGGTCTTTATTTACTACACTACGTTTTACACAGATGGCGTTACGTATCAATACTACTTCATCATCATTTGCCTAAATCGTCTAGCAACTGGATTTACATGACTGCATTTCAGTTTTAATAATAACTGAGATATGGCACTACAGAAATATAACATCTGGATCGTCAGGCATGGCAACGTATGAGAGCCGCGTTGTAGAGGACTTACAGTTAATTTCATTTTTTATCCTAAATAAAAAGAAATAGTGGCTTACCTTAAACTTTTAATCGTGAAATTGCCTACACCAGTTACTCTTAGATCCTTGCCCGCTACATTTACAGGGTTATTCCCGGGTGCTTTCAGCTGAAATTTAAACGGTGACCAATATTACCTACTACAAATCTAGACTTCGAAATTCCACACTTTTTACACAACTGTCCAAAAACACATCACATTAGTTAAAAAAAAGTAGAGGTCATGTTTGCAAGAAAAATCCTCTTTTTATATGTTTTATTTTTTTATACAACTTAGAATAGCAAACAAGCTAACGGCCCATCTGATGGAAAGTGGTAACCGTTGCCTATAGAAATGAGCAGTACCATAGACATAACAGAGTATATTGTTTCGCCCATGATACCCCCCATGCGTTACCATTCCTGAGGACTCAGGTGTTATTCCTCTGTACCCAGTAAATTCACGCCATATCCCACCCTTCAAACCGAAACACAGCCATTCAAATAACTGCTTTACGGTTGAAACACAAATGGGACAGAGGTACCCAAGCAATCAACTTTTGTACAAAGTCTCCCTCTGGTGTTTAAATCTAATAAAGTCTCTAAATGCGGTTACTAAGATTCTCACAGTAAATTTGCATAAATCAACTTAATATCCACTGACACATATACAAAGTCGTTAGTTATTTCATTTAAATATAAATACTAATTCATATTTTAAAATTTTGCAAAAAAAAAGCAGCTACAATCATGATAAAATTTATACATATAGAAGTAACACCAAGGAATATATACTATTAATTGAAAGAAGAATTATCAAAACTAATTTAAAACTAACGAATATCGCATAACATAAACGCAAAATAATAAGAACATAAAATTTTTAAAATAAATTACTTCTCTTGTAACTTTATACCTTTTAAACAGCGGTTATTTAAAATTCTTTAGATGAGTAAATTTGAAAACATGACGAAAATATAATACACACCTCGGGTATGTAGAAAGGATCTATGCCCGGCACTTCAAGCTCAGGCAAGCCGGCAGCCAACCTTGGCCTCAGCGCTTCGATGGAGTGACGCACGCAATCATCTATTGTACTCTGGTCTCGCTTGCATATTGGAATGTAGCTGGCTGAAACAACATGAATATTTTAATGTAGATTCAATTTTTAATGATTTGAAAACAGAATAGCGGCCCAACCTGTGTTCGAGAGAGGTTAGAGTAAACTAAAGTCAAGTCATCAGGCCCGTTGTGATAATTTTATCAAAAATTAACCACAATGGTTTCTAGGTAAGTCTGCATCGAAGTCGATCTGATAAGGTATATCGCTAGCAATTTAAGTATAAGATATATTACTAATAATCCCTCCCTCTCTATAGTTTTAATTAAGAGCATCTTCATTCCTTAATGTATAACATCGAAATTAGCCGTCAATTAAAAAAAATTAAAGACATTTTAATATTTCAGAATCATTATTATAAATTTATCTGACTGAGAACTAGAATATTAATAATGCAATAGGACTACTTCTAGACTCGTCATTTTGATTTTGATGAAAGAAAAAAATATTCAAAAACTGCAAATGCAAGATAATATGAAATAGATGTAATTTTTTCTGGTAAATTTACATAAATTTGTTCTATAATTAACATTTAAATATTTCTAAAATATAAAAAGTTATACATATTTTATTCATATTTGTAAAAAATCATTTATAATCTTCGTGTATATTGAAATATCCGTACAATATAATGTTATTCTTGTAATCTAAACTAATATATAATATAAAGACCTTGTACATCTTTCATATAATAATTTCGAATATGCTATTTTTAGATTTCCTTAAGATCTAAAAATTTATAAACTTTAGCTGCTTTTTTAATACAGTATTTACTTTGAGCGTTTTTAATAAAATTACTAGTTTTAAAATCAATGGTGTTGTCATTAAATTATTTATATTTACCAACTCAAAAACAAATTCTATCTGTCATATGCTAACCATCATCATCCTATTAGCCGTTTACTATCCATTGCTGAACATAACCCTCCCCCATAAAGGGGGTTTTACCAGTAATTACCACACTTGGTAGACGAGTTGGCAACCGCAGTTAGGCCTTCGGTGAAACTTTAAGAAAGACGTTACTGCTTCTCCTGCGATCATTAAACCATTAATATACTAATAAAATAAGAAAATGTAAAAATCATAATTTAAAATTAAATATGTAAGATTATTGGCACTAGGTGGAAATTTAAAACGCAAAGCCGTTCAAGTATGCATTATAATACTTTCCGGCAAATTAAAAATATATTTATAAAAATATCAATGTATAAAAATCTATTAATATTATAACAAAACTTTATTTATAGTCATAAAATTGATATAATTTCTTTAAAAAGCCATTATACTTGCCACGATATGCTAATAGGTAGCAATAAATATCATTAATCTCAACTAGTTTTTAGCACAAATATATGTAGGTACCAACGTCCACGTGCGTTCTACATTACAGATTCAAATATCGAATCTACTAAATTTATATATTATTCATGGCGAATTAACGTGACAATTCAATCTAAATGGCGGTTAATATTCTATTTTGTCCGAGGCGGCAAATTATGTAGATCAAGTTCTGGTTATAAGTATATTACACGATTTCAATTTGAAAATATTATTCCTTTCCTGTGCAAAATTTATTATTAAAATTAAACCAGTTCACTGTGCTCCTTGAAATATAGATGAACGCAATTAAAACGAATAAGGCACACGTTAATGACTAATTAATAATATAATTTTTTTTATATGTAATGTACATAATTACTGGAAACTTTAAATGGAAGTTTGTATAGAGACCTCCTCCCACTTGTATTTACGCGGTCTAGCAACTATGCTTGCATGTTTTTTTTTATGGATGAAAATGGAATGATAACCTCACCAGCGCTATCGGTATACGCTGGCGGGACACCAGTGAGAGGTGATAGCTGAGGATGAAAGCAGGTCATTTAGCCCATTATGAAGAATTCCACGAGAATTAACCACGATGGTTTCCAGGGGAACTGCGTGGAGATCGACCTGGTAGGGTACATTGCTATTAGACCCCATTACTAACAATCCCTTTCCCCCCTATGCTTGCATGTTTGTGTGTCGAATTAATAGGTGGAATATGAGAACATATAGAGAGAAGTATATACAACAAAAAATTCCCTAATGAAAACACAGCCATATTATAGTGACTCAGTAGTCGAAATAATTTTAATATTCTCATTCTCATCGCGTCGTCATTCGGTCTGTCAATGTCATATCTAAAAATATTCATTTAAATATAGTTAAAGCGCATAATTAATTAGCTATAAAATATTCTTGACGTATTAATTTTGCTGTTTTATTTATCTATGTAAATAGACTAAATCCATACATAAATTAATATGAGTAGTCTTCATAAGAGCAATAGAAGATTTCTGTTCATCTGTATGTTTGTTCCGGCATCGCATAAAAACTACTGCATCAAATTAAATAAAGGTTTCACTTAAAATATAGTGTATATTTTAACTTAATGAAATATTTCTTTTGTTTCTCGTTTGACAAATCACTTGTGAATAACTCTTGCAATTAATGTAAGAGCACAATTTTTTATTGCATAAAACTTTAATGGGTCTATTTCCCAACTCTACTGACAAGCTGTGTAGTCCCTGCATAGAATAGGCCACCCCTTCCTTTCCCATGGGTGTCGTAAGTCGATAAGGGATGGCGAGGGACGGGCTGCAGCGTCCCTCTTCATCTCCAAAGCCTAACTGCAGATACCAATCCGCCTGCCAAGCGTGGCAACTACTGGCAAAACCCCCCGTAATGATGAATACTGATAAGCTGTCTATTTCTTAATCTATATATAAAAATTCAATTGCCGAAGGTATGTAAACTCAACACTTCAGATTGGCTGCACCTATAGGCTTATTTTTTTATGTATTTGTAATTATCAGGACAATGAAAAATTAACGGAAAATTTGATTTATTTCCTTCATTAGTAAATACGCATGGAGCCGGTGCGGACCGCTTATAATTAATAAATATACACGTAATTGCAACGTTTTGTGAATATATATTATATTCTCTTCATTTGTATAAAGCTGTATCACTTAAAATTTTAAGATATGTTTAGTTGGATCGGGTACGAGACGTGAAGATAATTTTGACTAATTTTTTTCTTGTTTAAACATAAATATGATATAAATACTTACATAAAGATAATATAGTTGTGATTAAATAGAAGCAAGTATTAAATAAATAAACTTATAGTAACTGCTTTGAATTATTAGTCTAACTGAACTAAATTTACTAGGAAAAGACAGATAACATTTTTATGTATTTCAATTCATTAATAATAAAAAAAAGTCAGTTTCAAATGCACTTATATTGTTAATTCGCAGTAAAAATGTTATTATTTTCTAGTTTATTTTTGTTATGGTTTTGTTAATGAAATTATGCAGTAGTTAAATACAGATCACGTCGTTTCCGTGTTAAAACAATTGTTTTGAGTGTAGCAACGACCAAGTTTAATGTCTTCCTAGTTTAATATAATCAGAGATAAACTAACGTGACAAAAAACTTGTACTTAACTAGTAAAGTTAAAAAAAGTATACACTTATTAAAAACCGTATAGGAGGCAACAGTAAGCCAGTAACCCTCATTCAGATTTATTTGGTTTTGTTTATAAAATGTGCTGATTCTTGTTATTATATATTATTATTTATATTATATTAATTGTAAATAAAATTGCCGTCTGTTGACTTGAAGTATTGTATGTATTTTTTGTTCTATTTCAATTGTTTTTAACATATTGTTTTTTATAAAAAACTACAATTGTCAAAGTATAATATATAAAAAGGTTAATTTTGAACAGGTTTATTGACGATGTTTAAACATAATTATCATATTATCTCCGGAAAGCGAGTTGGAAATGTAATTAAACCACGACGCTAATTACTAGAGCAAGAAATTTTAAATTTTGAATAAAGACTGTAAAATAATAGTTTATAATATTTCTTTTTATTATTTTTTAAATGATACTTGTTAATTGCTTCAAAGCTGTATGTAAAACTAAATGTATTATACCACAAAATATTCATTTCATATAAATATATAAAGATCCTTATGAACATATGTATATTAGAAATCCGCGTGGAAAAAAGGAGGCATCAAATAAAGCAAAGCTCATAAAAACCAATATTTATATAATTTGGTATTCCTTTTTGTTTATTCTCTATCCTTTTTGTATCTTTTTTCTTCTTAATATATAAAAACCCCGTACTGCGATATTCGTTCTCCGAAACCGTTCAACCAATTTCAATCAAATTTTAGTATATATCTATAATTTGCTCCAAGTTAAGAGATACGATAATTTTTATCTCAATAAGAAAAAAAATATGTAGTATATTATCGTTGAGACCAAAATATCATTTATTGAATCAGCCAATAACAATACGTATATATACGATTATTACGACATTGTAGCCTTCATGAAAAAAGCATATTCCTTCCTAAAAGGCCGGTAACGCATCTGCAATTTATCTGATGCTGCCGGAGCCAATGCTCGTTTGCCCCCTATAAATTGCCCCCATAAAAAAAATATATTATATATAAAAAAATATATTATATATTATAGGTAAACTTAGCACTTAAACAGTAAGTACTAAGTCCAAATATATATTACGTGTACGTTTATTTTTATTTTTTCTTACAGTCAACTTAGAATAACAACAATAAAAATTAAAATAATAAACAAAATAAAACGCAAAATATAGATTTTTTTAAATACGACAAAATAAAAAGAAATACGTAGATTCCGTGCTGGTAAAAGCGTAGTATGATAATTTCTGTTATTATCAATAATTTTCTTGATCGGCAACCTTAAAGCCTTGATGTGATTATTATGAAACAATTAACTAATACTGTCTCAACCCTTTGCATAATGAAAATAATAACCGATTGTGCAATAAAGACGTCCATCAAGTAACGATGATTGAGCACGGCAACTCACTACAATAGTAATCATATGACGCGAACCATGAATTGTAAACAATTGCACCTATTACCACAAACGCAGGTAGAGAATTAATATATGTAATTTTAAACGATTGTTTCATGTTGTGCTAGCATATTCGAATGGATTTGAAATCCATTTATTCTGAAACTAGCGGCTCGTCCCGGCTTCTTACAAATGCAATATAATTAGGATATACGTATTGTTTGTAAGAATCTTCTGTAAAAATGTCTAAACGATAATAAAATCCATTGCGTGGTTTTGAAGATATGATCTGAGAAACAGACAGACGCGTATAGCGACTTTATTGTATATTATATAAAAAAATAATAGCTATATAACTATGTAGTTACGCGATTATACTTATTGTCTGAAATAAATTATTATTCAAAAAATAAAAAAATATAATAAAATTATTTCTAAGAACTGATCTTCGTCCTACTATAGTTTATATAGCACTTAAAACCGTGGAGGTTTTTAGAATTAAAAATTTTTATTATTTAAATTTAAAATTATTCCGTAAAAACGACCTCAATCGTAACACAATTAATATAGAACCAATAGAGAAGTAAATTATATCGATATTACCTTAAAACATTTTCAAAATTAGCAAAATAATTGTGTACCATATAATATACTTACAAGAAAACACTTGCAAATTTAATACCCCCTCTTTCTGAATTTGTTCAATATATCAATTACAAGTAAGTGTATAATCTATACTACTGATTAGAAGGAGGAAATATTTGATTTTTTTTTTTGTGTATTTGTTTGTTTGTAAACTCAAAAACTATACAACTGATTTAAAAAAATTCCGTCACCTATACAAGACTACATTATCAGCGAGTAACATAGGATATATATTATTTAAAAAAAAATTAAAGACCTCTACTAACTACTAAAATTGCGATAATGTATACCAAAATATCAAAGATGTATGTATTAACACTAATATAAAATACAATTTCTTTCTGTACACCTCTGTAAAGTCGAGGTGAAAGCTAGTGATACATAAATTTATTTAAAGAACTGCTTAAATTAATTTAATTGTAGAAGATTGAAGTTTTTATTAGTAAATATAACCATCGATTATTATTAATTATTAATTATATATAATATTAATTTATTTAAATTTATTGTTACAATTAAAAAAACCACTCACGTATTTGTTTTAAATGAACACTAGTAAAACAATAAACGGCAAATACATAAACTGCAAACCAATACATTTTTGTTCCGTAGAAATAAGTGCTTTACAACTTAAGGAAACCGCCTACGACAATATTCTATGCGCCACTAATCCATGTTTCTATCAATGAATACTATTATATACCTGTGCTACATAAGAATCTTGTTATCAACAAAACGAAGTTCAAGGTTAATCTTGTAATAACAACTATGTAATATTATTGATACATCATTATATAAAAGAAACATTCGATTTTTAATTTTTTTTTTAGGTTTAAATTTTTGTGCTCGTGGAATTTAAAAAAAATGATATTATGACTAAAAATTATAAATGGAATTTAAAAAAGAAAGTATAACAGGAATTTTTTGAAAAAAATATAAATCATACAATGAAGCGATGAAATAAATGCAAAGAAGAAAGTCGGCTTTTTTTTCTCGCAATAATCCATTTACATCCTTAAAAATAACTATATACTTTCTCATCAATTATCTTATAAATTTTTACCGTTTTTTGTACACTTATATCCTCGACAGTTGTAAACAGATTTTTGTATTACTTATTGTAAATTAAATGGGATCATCTAGTTTTAATTTCGTACTAATTTTGTCAAGGTCCTATGCAAATTATCTTATAGCTATTGCAATAATTAATCTGGATCTAAGAGTTACGCATTACGCTACCAGCCTATTTTTATAACATTGTATTTACTCTTTCTCACTCTATCATCCAGAGATATACATCTCTTTTTCCCCTTGAAGACGACTAATAAAATAAACAATGAAACGACATGTAAAAACGTGAATCAGTACGTGAAGTGTGTTTGCCAAATAACAAATATCCTGCTTCTTATGTATTCCGAAGGTTCTATACTTTTTGCAAAATCTTTACATTAAAGTAAATTAACCTTGTTGAAAAAAAATGTAGGTGTATTTTTTATCTCCATTAACACATCCGTAAATATATAAATTGAATGCAAATAAAGGAATGAAGATTCGATTTCTCATATAAACAAATGCACTGTATATGCAATGGGTTTCCACGAGATAGAGCGCCGACTTCGATTGTTTTGCATGATGTCAGTGGATGCAAGTGGATCAAGACCATTCATCAATGTATAATTAACAGATAAAACGAACATAAATGAAATTAAACAAAATAATGTTACGACAAATAGGTAAAGATTTTTTTTAATAGGTGTCGCATAATCACAACATTTGCCTGGTCCTTTAATTAAAATACCCTGTATTATTAGGAACAAGACTGGTAATATCTGAAGGCACAGAGTGCCCAGATCAGAATCAGTTTAGATAAATTCATTACATAAATCGGCCCGTTCGAGCCCGGGACCTCATTTATACAAAACCACTTGCCCACTACTGAGCTACAAAAGTCGTTAAAATTTAAATCATACTTCTATTTAGTCGACATGAATTTGCAGAATTTTTTCAACTCAAACCAAGCTTTATTTATTACTTCATTATCCATTTATTATAGGATAAGCAAACTGAAAAGACAATGAACTGGTTACATAGCTTGTAGAATTGTCACATAGGACGACGACCCCTTTCTCCCTTACTAGATGGAGTGACGACCTCAAATTTATTGCAGGGAGTCAGTCAATGCAGGTAGTTCAGAACCGTTCCTTATGGCAGTCTAATGTGAAGGCCCATCAGCAGTGATTGAGATGATGTTATTATAAATTGTCCCAAAATCGTTAAGTGTTACCCTTAAGTGCTACCACACTTATTATAAATTAGTAAGCCAACCCGGTTTCGCCTAGGTAGATAGAATTTTCCAAAATAATATATAGCCTTGCTGATAATGTAATTTTCTATAAGTGAAAGAATTTTTAAAATCGGTTGTGTAGTTTTTGAATTTATTCATTACAAACAATCAAACCTAATCTCTTTGCAATATTATTATTAGTATAGATATAAAATGAGTAAAATTATTAACTCTTGACGTCTTAACCACTCAACCAATCATTATTAAATTACATATACGTACCTACAGTCTGTTTTAAACTTAATGAAAATGTAAACAAAGGAATAAATTATAAAGGAATAACAATGTATTTAGTATTTATATAAACCTACGTGTTTTCTGAATGCTAATAGAACATGTTTTCTGTAATTCTGAATTTTTATAATAATAAATAAAAAAATTAACCCGACAGGACCATCAAAGTCTGCCGCAGTCCAATAGTAATAAAAATAAAATAAAATTGATTTAAAGTTATGGCTTGTTACTAATTTCATTAAGAGAGTGTTTCTATAATACTCGTAATTTCAACAAAACTTATGTAGTTACATTTAAACAGACTTCAGTATTTAGAATAGAGTAATTCATCAGATTTATCCCGGTCAACATATCCCTGTATCTCAGTAATGCTCACTGATTTACTATTGTAATATTCACGCATATTTTCAAAAGAAATCAGGGCCTACCACGAAATGATATCCCGAAATTTCGTACTCAATTTCGTGTTTTCATTCATACCTAAATCGGCCCAGTAAATGGAGTTTAACATTTCGTTCGTCATAAATCCTACCATAAAAGTCCAAAAAAAAATTTTTTAATGTTTTTAAACGGTCAAGTATTATGTAATTTTAACATCAAATTTGTGTTTCGTTCGACTCCGAAATTTCAGAAAACATTTCATAGTAGGCCCTCAGGTTTTCGACTGGACTTCCTTTTTTTGTTACAACAAATTTTGCACAAATTTTGATTTCGTTATATAAGAAACACTAAAAAGGTCAGCATTAAAATTCCATCAACAACGAAAAAATCCAAAGTATAATTATATAAATACTAATATTTACCTGTGACTTCGTCCACGTGAATTTTATATATTTATAACTCGAGATAGATATTAAAATTATTGATACTAGCTGTATCCTGCGACTTTGCCTGCGTGATTCAATACATACAGTATCTTGTGTTCTAAGTTAGGATATAACCAGTCAGTGTACAAAATTTTATATAAATTCGTCCAATAGTTTTTGGATGAAAAAGTAACAAAAATCTATCCATCCATACATCCATCCTTTCAAACTTCGCATTCATAATATTAAATGAGGATAATTATTTCATTTGGAGGTATCATATTGAAACGCAAAATAAACTTTCACAATATTACACATATTAAACTATTCTTAAAATATTACTATTGTTATGGTTTTTTTTCCTATTTTTTTATTTAAATTGGTCAATAGTAAAACCAAAGCATTCAAACCAAACGTCCAAAAATAATATTACTATATAACGTCAAACGATGTGTCATAAAAATATAAATACATGAATATAACTAACATTAGTAGTATCATAAAAAAATATAGAAGCTGTTCGAATGTTTAAATATAGTTGATGTAAAAACTATATAATTAACATACATATATTGCGGTTTTTACACAAAAAAAATCATCTCATCTAATTTTAGGATGTTTTCCTCGACCATTGCGTCATTAAGCGTGGAAACTTTTGATCTTTAACCCATTGATGTATGTATACAAAAAATACCAGATTCACATTCCCACACGAAAGTTAGAATTAAAGCTGTCCCTGATGATAATTATAAGAAATAAGTAGTTTATAGTTGGACAAAACCTGTGTAGAGTCGAATACTTACCGTAAATAAGAAACTGCGTATCTCGACGTTATATTTTTATAATATTTCTGAAACTTTTGAATTTTCACAATCGTCACTGGCTGGTTAGATATTAATGCATAATTTAGTCAAATGCGTTCAATTTTCAATCGAATTCTTAGTTATAAAAGTTGGAGTTATAAGTTGTGAGAATTTGAACCGATTTGGAAAATTCTGTTTTTTATCTAAAAAGATATATTTCCAGGTTGGTCCCATTGAAATTCTATCAAAATCGATTCAGTGGTTTAGATTTTAAATCAATATAACTGGTCTTGCCACAGTCGATGTCTGTTTTTTTTTTATTGTACTCTATTTAATAATTAGTGCTGTTTTTTAGTCTCTGATTGTACGTCTTGGGTTTTTTTATTTATCAATAATCTACTCACGTTTGTATACAACAGTAATATTATGCAGTTGTATACATACCTCTCTGATAAAAAAAAAATATGTGTTTCAGCACAATAAACAGACATTCAGTCTAGTCATTTTAATTGAAAATCCCAATTATGATGTGAATTTTTTTTTAACTATTATATTTTATTGCCTTTACGTATAAATAGATACTATTTGGTTGATACTGATATTAGGTAGGTACCTATGAGAAATTCATAAAAGAGCTTCTCAAATTCTCAAAAACAAAACGTGATTTTTTTTAAGATAAAGTATAGAATAAAAAAAAGCGTTACTCGACAGTTGGTACTTACTTTAATATTATAACAATGATGACACGAACACTTCATACAGAAACGATACTAGAGAAAAATGTATATAGTTAACACATTTATTATAATATCAATATTTATGTAAATTTATTTTACACATACTATCAATATAGTTATTAATACATGTACATTTTATTTATATATTTGCAACAGTAAAAAATATCTACTTAGAAGATTAAATACATTATTAGCAGTAGTTCAATTTCTCTTAGTAGATTACTATTACTACATATTAATATATTTTTTAAATAGTATAAAGTATTAATAATATTAATAATATTACTAGAGACTTTTGTATACCCTCGGATGGACTGTCGACTTGTATCCGATAGATACTATAAAAAAACTTAGACAAAACCTTGATTACTATTTTTATAAACGTAAACTTCTTACGTAAGACGAAAAATGATTATTGGTAATAATATTAGAAGTATTATTAAAATATTGAAAACAGATTCGAATGATTATTTCACTAAATGCGATAATATACAGTATCAAAGAAATTTTAGTGTGATTAAAAAATACTATTAGAATAGTTTAATAGTTTTTGCTAAGCATAGTGATATCTATACGGCTCCGATATTTATATATTGGATTCCTCTGAACATTATTGGCAGAAGATTAGCCTTCTAGACAAAGTATAAACGAATCTATTAATAGAATCGCTTTGATCAGCGCTGATATGTGAAAGAAAAAGAGAGCGTACGTTGCTATCTCACCATAGACATCTCATGGATTCGCTAGCAACAATGATTTTATCAATAGGTTTGTTTCTTCTTTGTCTAGAGGGGCAGGTTCTTTATTTTGATATTAGCTTTATATTGGATAATCGATATTTAATTTATACGTTATTGCGCCAAAATACGTGACTCAAAATATCTACAAAATTGACTGCAATAATAGTTATCAAATTCGATTCACAATTGTACACATAAACAAAATCAAATTAATTGCCAATATCCTCTGTTTGGAAATCATTTCAAAATTGGCGATTTTATAGCAAATTTTATTAAATTACCTATTTAACTAAAGACGAATTATATTTTACATAGATTTTTGTATTTTACACTGCATAGAGACAAGGTTAATGTAAATATAGGCTATTTATTACATTATCAGTGATCTTAGTATTGACTATTGACCTACATACCTAATTCATAAAATAGATTGATGGATTATAATGTATGACAGTCCATTATATTCTTATAACGATATAATATAGCTGCTGAAGCTGAATCCACAAACATTGGTTTAGCTCTTACTGTGAGCTACTAGATACATTTGTTCTTATCGTGATAAAAAATATCCTTTCCTGAAGTTGATGCAAAACATTTACAAAATCAGCTCAGCAATATTGGAGATTAGCGTAAATAAACATCGTGACCGAGGATTTTTATATAGAGATTCAATAAGATACACAACTCAAAAATTGATTATTATTATATAATTTATAGGAATATCTGTACCTGAACATTGTCCACTGTTCACACCAGTGATGGGCAAAGTACGGCCCGCGGGCCAACTCTGGCCCTAGAATGTATTTAATCTGACCCGCTGAAGGTCTATCGACATGGATAGTGTATGGCCCGATATAATTACGTTTTGACAGTCGAGAAGTATAAAGTAGATTCTACTTAGTAGAATAATAGATGCAAAATGCTGAAATGATTTTATAATATAATGATTAAAAGTGTATTTTTTCTATAATTCTGGTCCGCCTCTAGAATTCCTTAAACTTTACGTCCACACCATAGTAGTTTTAGTAATGTACAAAATTAAAATAGTAATTTTAAAAATAAGAATGGTACCACAGAATCGACCCCAATGTTTTGGCAGGAAAGGGATTGTTAATAATAGAGTCAATACCCCCATTGCTAGTAATATACCCTATTAAGTCGACCTCCACGCGATTTCCCCTGAAAACCATTGTGATTAAGTCGTATTGAATTAGTCACAAGGCGCCAACAGATCTGCTTTCATCTTCACCTATCAACTGTCACCGGTGTCCCGCCAGAGTATATCGATAGCGCAGGCCGAGTTACCTTGCCATTTTCACCCATAAAAACACCTATAAAAAAAATTAAATGTCTTTGTATTATTTAAATTTCAAACACGAAATTATTAAATTACTTAAAACTTTTCGTTAATGTCATTAAAGGAACAGGACCTGATGATATATCATATTTAATTCATTCATTCCTTATTTATGAAAAATTGTATGATAGTGTTGAGTAAGCCTCTAACCACTATAGCAGTATCATGGTATTATTTAAACAGGGCGATATATGGGCAGTGTCCCTCTTAAAACATCTCCAAAGCCTAACTGCAGTTGCCAATTCGCCTGTAAAGCGTGGCTACTACTGACAAAATCCCGAAGAGGGTGGATTATGTTCAACAGTTGATAGTTAAATGCTAATATGATGATGATGATGATGATGATAATGAAAATTTAAACAGTTATTGTCATCGTACGGTTTCCGTGACTTGTTTAAATTTCGAAAATAGTGTTCAGTACCAAAATAGTGCTCAGTACCAAAATAGTGCTCAGTACCAAAATAGTGCTCAGTACCAAAATAGTGCTCAGTACCAAAATAGTGCTCAGTACCAAAATAGTGCTCAGTACCAAAATAAATCAATTAGTTATACTTAAATGTCAGGCAGTGCAACTGACATTTGTATCTAAAGATCTGTAAGCACTATTTTATAATATTACTAGCAACTTTGAAGGTCTCGTCTATTATTAGTGCAGATTCACTTCATTTAGTATATATATAAATCGATTTACATGATCAATCGATCTTCTCATAATAAATATATAATGACATAGTAATGATATGATTCATGTTGATTTTTCTAAAGCAGTTGACGAGGCCAAGACACTTATCTAGGTCATCTAGGCAGGCATTCTAGGGTCACGTCTCTTTTTACTTCTATCTTACTTGTCAAATTGTTCACCGATCATAAATATTTATGGCTATGATTTAGTCTTGTTTAAATTTAGACCTATAGGGTATAACTCAGGGTCCTGTTTTGTACATTTCATTTACCAATGATCTTCTGCAAACTTTAATGTATAAACATTTAGCCTTTGATGATGATTTAAACCAGGAGTTCCCAAACTTATTTTGTCTACTGTCCACTTTGAGAATAAATTCTTTTTTAGCGCCCCCATTTTTTCACCTAGTTAAAAACCACTACTACTTCAAGATCAACAAATCACCCCCCAATTCTCTACATAACGCCCCCATTTTTTTCTGGGTCTCTTACCGCCTCCTTTAGGCCTGCAGGGCCCACAAGGGGCGTTATCGCCCACTTTGGGAAAGGCTGATTTAAACATATTAGGTATATATTATAAATTGCCGTCTAGATCATAGTTTCTTAAATTTATTTTGCCCACCGCCACCAATATATTTTTTTGACAGTCCTTCATCATCTTAACTTTACTTATCTACTCTCTAGGTTACTCACTGTCCCCCTGAAAATCTTAAACGCCCACAAGCCACATTGAGAATCTATGGTCTAGACTGAGATACTACAATAAGATATTATTCACATACATCAATGCTACTCGTATATATGTATGTAAATAATAATATGAACTTGAATACCTTTTGCTAAGATTAAAATTCTTATTAAATTCTTTTAAAATGTAGAGGAGAGTACTTAGAACAACCATAAATAAAATCTTTTGTTTTAACTTATTCATAATATCTTAACTTTCAATGTACTCTATTATTTGTATAATAAAATTTTAATTAGACGATATTTGTAGATGGAATATGTTTAAGAAAATCTTATATAAGAGGTTATTTAACAAGAGCAATAAAAGTCAAAATAATATCTTTTACAATTTTATGTGTCTATCTGTATGTTTGTCCGGTACGCAAAAACTACTGCACCAAATTAGAAAAGGTTTTACTGCAGCATTCCTGTAGGTGCAATTTAAAAACTGGTGTATGCATACAACATCGATAAGTGGACTATTTTATTGATTTCCCTACTTCTGATTTCCACATATACGAAGTAGGTGACAAAAATTTAGTCGTATATAAAAAAAAAGTGCTTCAATCGTTGTGACTTTTTAAAGCTTATCTTTTTATTATGAATAGCGACATCTGTACTTTATTACATACAATTATATATTACTTATTAAACACATGACATAACATAATTGTATAATCTACTTTTACAACAGATGGCGCTAAAAATTTTGTAAACTTTCAAATTGTTTGAATTAATATTCTAAAAAGCTTTCGTCAATAAATTTACTTACCTTATAAATATACCTTAATATATATAATTTTTTTATGGGTGATAATGGAATGGTAACCCCGCCGCCACCCGCGCTAACGGTATACACCGGCGAGGCACCAATGAAGGATGATAGGTGAGGATGAAGCAGGTCAGTTAGCCCACCGTGACGAATTCAACAAGAATTATTCACGATGGTTTCCAGGAGGAACCACTTGGAGGTCGACCTAATAAGGGATATTGCTAGCAATGGGGCTGTCAAACTCCATTGCTAACAATCCCTTTCCCCTCTAATATATATATTAGGTATATACCTACCTAAATGTTCAAACAATCCTATATATACCTAATATAGATTTATTAAAACTTAATAGTCCACATTGGTGTAACAAATAGCACGTCCACATCTTACTTATACAGTAGGAAATAAACATTCTTATCTCCTCATATTCTTATAGGGATGAATCTTAAATGTAAATACGCTGTTTCTCTAGGATATATTTAATTTTAAAATATAATATTTCAAGCTAAACGCGCACGTTTAATCGTGCCTTTCGTTTGTGTTAATGCATGTAATTTTTAATAGATACCTACATGTATTGTGCGCATAACGAATAAATATTTGGATTAAAGTTCATCTCGGCTATAACTGCATGCTGAATTAGACAGTAGATAGGGTAAAAAAATTGCTCTCCATTCGTGGTAAAATTATTACTTTTTTTTTATTAAAACCAGTTACAAAAGATTAAGTATCCAAAATATGAAAATTGCGTTTTTTTTTTAAATATAACAATTCGGACCTTACCAGACTATGCTCAAATATTTCTAGCGCCTGTAATCTGCACTATGCGAATAAATACGTGATAAATATTGACATTCCTTAGGTATATCAAATTTACTACCTACGGCTTTTGTCAAGGAAGGAATCTTTTTTATCATTAGGTATTTTTTTATTTTAATTTTTCCGTTATTTCTTTTTATTTATAGGTACATATATATATTTATTTAAAGAGTACTAATTCAAAACGAAGTACACATAACAATATTGTAGTGAATGAGTAATTATCTAATGTCTAGTCAATATGCAAAACAAACATATAGATAAGTAATGAACACTGTGACGTATTGTATCGTCCCCTCGATACCCTTTGCTCTCTTATCGCACAGCATATACCTACATAGAATAACATTCGTCATGTCACATCCTATTCTCATTTATTGCATTGCCTCCGCCACGACTGTGGGGCACAATAAGCAGTTTCATTTCGACAGGATGCATATGCACACTGTATTGTTATGTGCTCTAATTTTTGTGATACCCGGGCAAGGTCAAGGTTAGTCTTAAGTTTATTTACTGTAATATTATTGTGTACAATTTATCTGTGAGATTATTTTTAAAAACGAGTGGCCAGTGTTATCGTTGTTCAGTTATTCCTTTGTGCACGTGCTTGTAAAAGTACCATCTTATATTGACACCATTGTGATTATTAAAAATGTGATCGTATTGCAAAAACAAAAGGTGATCTTAATAAGTATATGGAGTTGGAGATTCTAGGGATATTCGTTTACTGTCGCATATTCACATACACTATTCATTGTCCATTGAAGTAATTATTTACTATAAGTATAGTGACCTTTTGGATCATTTAGTACTGTGTTATATCGATAAAGATAAAAATGTATGTAAGGTATTAAATAAAAAAATAGATATATGTCGAATTCTAGGCATTGTTCTAATTTTTTATGAACTACCTCACGTAAAACAACACCTAATTTACAATAATTTATCGACAGTTCTTCACGCTGTGATAATTCGTAGTAAACTAAAAATTTCCAAAAATTCGATTTACCTAGAAATGAGTCACCTAAGTCAATTGTATTGTAAGTTATATTTTCTTTCCCGTCTACAGTCGACTGGTAGAAAATGTTATCGGTGTAAGACCGCCTTTTATACTAAGTCTATTCTAATTTAATATATTAAAAATATTGTGTTGTTTTACTGTAACTTATTGTAACATAGTTTAATAAATCAAAACTCCCCATTGAATATTAAATAACCTAATCTCACACAAAAATATACTATATAAATTAATAAAGAAAATATACTAACTAATAAATACTGTAATAATATACTGAAGTACGTTAAATTATTTTAAATAAAAAAACGGATATAATAAAAACAACTGCCTAATACCTGTATTAAAAATGCAAGAGTACCTACTACAATAGTGCTTGTTCAACCACAGATAATATAATACTATGTTCAACTATCCTGGATAGTTGTGAAATTAAAATCATAAGTATCCTTTTAAGGGGATTTTCTTACAATAAAATCAGACCGGAGCGGGGTCGATAAACGCCAAAAAATGTGGAGCCTCCCATACCAACACGTCGATTTATTGTTGTTTTTGAATCACGAAATTTCTGTCCTATTATGTTCAAACACATATTTCACGCGTAGATTCTTAGTACTACGTGCGGCTAATGACTTTGTTTTTATCCTTTATATATTTAAAAGAAGGACAGAAAAAATAATGTTAAACAGATTTTACAACACGATTTCCAGATGACTCCGAACAGACCACAGTGCACCCGAGGCTTGCCGAGGGAGAGAAAAAGATGAGCGACAGTATCTTGGAGATCCTGGAGCACTTCAAACAACCAGATCCCGTGGGCCTGCCAGGTGCTGAAGTTCCCGACCCATATTCTGTTCCTGATATGAAGCAGTCCCTCGCTTTTGGCACAGTGCTCTATTTTAAAAACACTGCGGTTTACGGTATCAGTAAATTCCGCATTGTGTATATAAATGCAGAGATTTCAGCCATGGAAGTACGTATATGAAATTTTATTTATACCACTGATATATAACATTTACTGAATTTTTATAAAGAAATCCACCACATCATCTGTAAACAAAAAAAAATATTACAACAAAAGTTTATAACGATATATTTTATTAAAATAAATTATATTCCATTTTACGTTACATACAAGCATTTTTATATAAAAAATTTAATCCTTAAATAATTTTGTACTGTGTTTCAGGTCCAAGCAATAATGACAATAGACAAGTTACAAGCACGTGGCAACTATACACTGTCGACGTGGGTAAACAGAGCCCAGGGACCGTTTACAGTAGACGTATCTGGACTCAAAATACATGCAAAGGCGAACCTCGGTGTTGAGAGAGATGGTAAACTGAGAGCTCAGAATATGAACATAGATATTGGTTTCACCAACATCGCTGTCAACTTCCAAAATCTAGGCGTACTAGGCAGTATATTCCAAGGGTTTATTAACTCTGTTGGACCTTTCGTGTTCGACTCTATTAAACCATATATCCTTAAAGAAGCATACACAAAAATGAGGGTAGAGATCAATTCAAAATTAGATGAAGTAGCTGGAGACATGCAATTTCCTAATTCTATTTCTCCATTAGATATGATAATAGCTGATGCTCGAAAAAAAGTGCAAGAAATGGAAATGGATCCTTACAAAGTTAAAGATTACAACACAACTATGAGTATATTTTCTGTTTCATTAACTCGTACTTGGGTAATAGGAATATCTTCCTTCGAACGAGTTGGAAATATCACTCTAAGAATAGAAAACAATACAGCTATCGCCGATTTTGAAATCGGTACTCAGAAACTTGAAGGTATGACTCAATGGGAAATTACAGCAGTAGGAGAAGTCATGTCTAGAGCAGGAACAGCTTCGTTTTCTGTCGAATATATCAGTGCAAGAATTATTTTAGCACAACCACTTGATACAAGAAATCGACCTCAAATTAGAGATTTGGATCTAGAAATTGGTAATATACAAGTTCGCTGCGATGGTGCTGGAACTTTGGATTACATTATAGAAGCTGTAGTTAATATTCTACCAAATTTACTGAGATATCAAATAATGGATGCAATTGAAGGTCCGCTTCAAGATAAAATACAAGAAGAATTAAACAAAATTAACGTAGAAGAGACAATAAAACAAGAACTACATAAAGTAGACGAAATGCAAGAGCAAGGATTTAAACTCTCTAATCTAAAAGCAAACGATATTCAGGAAACACCATACGATGAAGATGACTTCTTCAATTTTTGAAATATTTACGTCGCGTATACAACTTTACATTCAACATTCTGAATAGTGCAACGGGTGAGATAGAAAGAGAAGTTTTATGTTACAATCTATCTATTCGAAAATTAATTAATTATCTAATTAAAATTCAGAATATACCTATTGTTCATTCAGCACACAGTTTTCTATTTATGTTATATTTTAACTTAACATTATTAATGGAAAACCTAGAAGAATAAGTCAATGTTTTTTATTTTAAAATTTTTTTATAATCATAAATTGATATTCAAAATGACAATCAAGCATGATTTGCTTTAAATTTTTGTACAAAGTTAGTTATTGTATTTGAAAAACTAAAAGAATCAACACTAGAATTCATATATATGTGCATATATCATGTAGAAAGTCTAATTGTTGTATAATATTATTACCTATTCTGTCACCTAGGAGTCATTTTTCAGTTTACATTACTGTTTTGGTTTAAAGGTTTTCAATCAAAATAACTCAATACAGAAAAATAATGCCTTAATGTTAGAAGAGCCAAGGGCATCAAAACATATTCTGTAATTCCCATTCCAAATTGGATAAGAAATGGTATAAAAACCAATTACATGAGGTAAATCATGTTAATCTTTCTCAGTAGTATCAAAAAATCATGAAACGCGCAATTATGAACTATTTATTTGTTTTCTTAGTGCGTTAAATACATACAAATATGAATTAATATTATTTGTAAATATGTAACTAGATCAAATAGGTTAATGTTACAATAAATACTATGTAGTACTTACACACATCTTTATCATTATTTACTATAAAAATTTACAAAACCCTATCAAATTATTTAAATTATTATATATATATATATATATATATATATATATATATATATATATATATATATATATATATATATATATAGAGAGAGAGAGAGAGAGAAAACAAAGAGAGAATGAAAGGAAGGCATGAGTAAATAAATTTAAAATCTCTCGTACGTAAGGAAAGGGTTTTTACCAAATCTCCCCAAGAGGAGGAGTTCAACTTTAAGAAAAAAACCTTATATCTATCCATAATCCGCTTATAGTCTGTATGCTAAATATATATGTCTGTAAAAAATAAATATATCTATTATTAAATCTGTTATCTTTCTTTCACGAATGCATAACTTATAAATCACTGCAACATATAAATTTGAATTTCAGAATGATTATGTAATATATAATATATTTACCACGACTTCAAGCCGGTATAACAAAAACACAAAACTGGTAAGTACTTATACATACGAGTACATACTAAGTATCTAATTACGTTTACTATATTTAAAATACACGTAATAAAACATACTTATGCCTATTGACCTATCAATCCCATCAGATATTACAATCATTAACCCAAAATTACATTTTGACCAATGTTCTTTATAAGCGATTGATTTTGTCGGCCAATCATCATTAAAACTCACCTGCATTCGAACCGGTAGCTTAACGGTGCTTGTATGACGTAGTATTAAATGTATTGATAAATATTAAGATGAGTATTGACCGAGAGCGTGTTCATATAATGTTATAGTAAACTATTACTATAACATTAAGTCTAGCATCATCCGAATTACTAAATTCGGATGATGCTAGACTTACGTTACATTACCTGGTAATCATTTTTAATAATAACACTAGCTGTACTTTGCGGTTTCGCCTGTGGTAGTATCATGATGTAGAATAGCTTGTAACTTTCCTCAAAACATTAGATTTCAAATACAAAAGTAATTTTTCGAATCCTACTGGTAGATCCAGACTTTGTACAAAAGTCGATTGCTTGGGCACCTCTGTCCCATTCGTGTTTCTACCGTGAAGCAGTTGTGTTTGCATGGCTGTGTTTCGGTTTGAAGGGTGGGATATGGCGTGAATTAACTTGGTTAAAAAGGAATAACACCTGAGTCCTCAGGAATGGCAACGCATGGGGGGTATCATGGGCGAAACAGTATTCTCTGTTATGTCCATGGTACTGCTCGTGTCTATAGGCGACGGTTACCACTTTCCATCAGGTGGGCCGTCAGCTTGTTTGCCATTCTAAGTTGTATAAAAAAAAAGATCCAAAGATTGGCGCATTCAAAGAAACAAATAAACTCTTCTTTTTTATTATGTCAGTATTGATGTTAAAAAGGTGCATAGGAGCATTCGTATCTGCATCATCTTCCTGTCCTTATTCCAATTATTTAGGGTCGGAGTAATATGTTCTTATTCATATTTGGCGTGAATTTACTGAGTACAGAGGAATAACGCCTGAGTCCTCAGGAATGGCAACGCATGGGGGGTATCACGGGCGAAACAGTATACTCTGTTATATCCATGGTACTGCTCATGTCTATAGGCGACGGATACCACTTTCCGTCAGCTTGTTTGCCATTCTAAGTTTTTTTTATATCACAGGGGTAAAAGAGCATGTGTTTTAAATGACTGTATGGCTGCTGACTTTTTAAAAAGGTATATGTTTTTTTTTTTAAAGATTACAATGTCGTATTGATTCAGAAATACCGTTGCTGAAAGTTGATACTAAAGCGTGGCAATGCATGAAAAAGGTAAGGCGGGTTGTACGATAATAAAAATCAGCAGCAGTACAGATATGTAATTATTTAATATCTTTCGTCTTAACGTATGAAATTATGTACAAAACCATTCCTTATTGTGATGATTTCTCCCAGTGAATACTCAACTTTACATTAGTTAGCAACCTTTTCTCATCGGTTTCTTTCTCTTTATAAAATGTGGAACACCTATTAATACATTTATACCTATTTAACATTACGTAACGTAAGATAAAATTAATTTTACTATTATGTCCACGTACATATAATAAAATTGTTAATATATGAATAAACATCGTCTAGTTACAACTTACGAAACGGATATTTAAGAAAAAAATATTTGCTAAAAAGCGGTAGAAGTCAAAATAATATTTTTTTATATTTTTAGTTACGGTATCAGCACAAACTCCTGCATCAAATAGGATGCCATTTTCCCTGATATAATCGTCAAAGTTGACCTGGTGTATGTTTCATATTAATACACCATCTAGAAATTCGAATCAAAATCAACCCGTTAGAAGTCGCGAGCAAAAACTAGATTCCTATATAAGACATAGAAAATTACAGTAAAAAACACAGAAATTAAATTTTATTGTAATAATTAATAACTTTCTAGCTCTCTAATACTTAAAGAATCTCTCTTTAAAAATAAAGTATTTTTAGTCCTACCCTTAATTTAAATTAAGGCTTCTCAAAAAAACAGACACTAAATCTGATAAAACTAACACCAGTGTATTTAAAATTAATATTATTATATTAACTTTATCAATATCCAATAGAGGGGTATCCTGTCAATTGCAAAAAGAAAAATCAAAATCAATTCTAAATGAGGGCAGATATCACAAAATAAACGCACAAGAACATAATTTTTTTTTTTAGTAATGGCGAAAATGCTATTTCCGGCTTACCTGTTAAATAATAATAAATTTTACTCACTTTCTCTTATTTTATTTTACTTTTATCCAACAACTATATAGTTTGTGTAAATTTCAGTAATGATTTATTCTACAGGATCATTAGTAAAGCTATTGAACAAAAGAGCATTTGATATAAAACCATAAATATAAATAATTTTTGCGGTCAACGCTTTATGTAGAAAGGAGTGGGCTCACCGAAGAGACTGCAGTGAAACATTGCTTGAGCTGTAGCAGTACGCGCTGCACGTTAGCCTGTTTAAAGAAAAAAAATATCTTTGGTCATAAAAAAAAATAAAAAGGCGCGAAACGTGTCTCATTTATTTTTTCTTTTTATTTTTAAATATTGTTTTTCTAAATAGTTCTATGCTTATACAATAATGGAGAAATTTCAAATACAAATGTTATTGGTGATCTTCGCGGCTGTGATCGCGCAAAGTACATCGAACACAAGTAAGTGACAACATTCAGAAGAAAGTAGAAATGTGTGTTTTTGTGTGTCACTTATTAAAGTTAATGCAATACGTTTAAAATATAAATAAATATGTCTTGTTATATTTTAAGTAGGTGATAGAAAGAAATTATCATTTTATTCTATTGTTATCATATTGTCTACTATTTGCTGAAGTTTTGTGAAGTACCTACATTTTAAATTAATTTTATTTATTTGGCACTTGCTCCAATTATGGCACCTATTTAATTAATATCGTATCGATCTGAATTATTATTATATGGTATTAAATTAACAAATAAACTATCATTGTCATTATAAGTAAGTACATAGAAGTACCTACCTTGGTAAGGTACTTAAGTAGGAACCGCTAGTTAATATTTTATTCTATTTTTGATATTTCTAATTAAAAAAACTATATATTAACAGTTTATCACATTATAATTTACTGATTTTTTTTTTGTTATAACTAATACAATAAAAATAATACTAGTGACTTATAACACTGAAATCTTATGTTTATATTAAATAAACAGAAAAACTCTTGTATCACTATTCATGCCTGAAAAGGGCAAAATCGGTCTATAATAAAACGATAACCAGACTTTGTGGTATAATGAAAGGATCATTATCTATAAATTAATATTTTTTAATAATTTTAAATTTAAGGTACCCTACTTAAAGTATGGGCAGTAAAAATTAAAATATTTATATTTAAAGAATCATCTAAATCGGTTCACGATTAAAAACATTTCGAAACAATTGAATAAATGAGAAATCCTGCTTTATAAAGTTAATATATGCTGGAAAAGCAAAATGTGTCTTAAATCTCAATTGCAATTAATGCTCATGTCACTTTATCAATTTTACAAAAAATAAAAAAAAAAAGATACGAAATGGCAAAATATGTAATAATAAATAAATCTATGACACGGTAAGCCACTTAATATAACGTTATTATATTTGACATGTTTTATATGATATGTTAATGATAAATATGTATCATATTTCTCCAATTACCTACTACTGCGATATTAGGTACAGTCACTAAAAAATAAAAATTTCGATTTAAAACATTCATTACTCATAAAATTTAATTTAATTATTTTTTTAATTGCATTAATTTTATGATAGTTACCAATTATAAAGCACTATTATACCTACTTATACAACAATTAGTCCATTACCTTAAGGTTGTCTTGAAAAGATTGCTCTCAGCAATAAGACCGCCTTACTGTACTTATACAATTGTATCGTTGTGTTTGTAAATTGTCTTGTTTATTTCCTATATTGTATAATGCAAATAAACTATACTCATTCATTCATTCATTCAAAAGATAATATTAATATACGTATAATCTATACATATATAATGATATTATAGTAGTCAAGTGCCAGCGACGCGGTCTGATTCAGTTGATCGATTTCATCCTCATATTTTTAATACAAGTTCAATGCTACATCCAACGGAATCGCTCTATACCTACCTAGAAACGCATTAAAAGTAAAGTTATCGAGACTTTAGATTTTTTTATGGCTCGAATAAAACCATCAAGTTACCATCTTTCTTCTTTTGTAAAGAAATGCATGCGTTGCTTGTTTCTAGCGCTTTAATATCGTGTTATGGGGGAGAAGGGATCGTTAGTAATGCGGGCTTCCAGTCCCATTGCTAGCAATATATCCTGTCAGGTCGACCTCCACGCGGTTCCCCCTGGAAACCATCGTTAACAATTCTTGTTGAATTCGTCACGATGGGCTGACTGACCTGCTTTTTTCATTATTCAACCCCGCCTGCGTTAACGGGATACGCTGGCGGAGCACCAGTGAAGGGTGATTGATGAGAATGAAAACAGGCCAGTTAGCCCATCATGATGAATTCATCAGGAATTAACCATGATAGTTTCCAGGGGGAACCGCGAGGAGGTCGACCTGGTTGGGTGTATTACTAGCAATGGGATTCTTAGTCTCCATTGCTAACAATCCCTTTCTCCCCCTTAGCTACGGGTTTGACCCTCACTTAATACAAACATACATGATTTTCTATTGTCTGTGTATTTCTTCATATTACATGTCATCGTCATCATCATATCAGCCATTATCTGTCCACTGCTGAACGTAGGCCTTCCCTATAGTCTGTCATAAGGAACGGTCCTCAACCACCTGCATCCATTGACTCCCTGCAATGCATTTGAGATCGTCACGCCATCTATTGGGAGGTCGTTCTACCGTCCTGCCCGTACGATCGTACGGAGTCGCCACTCCAAGGACTTTTTCTTCCCCATCGGTTCTCGATTGCCATTTCAGCTTGCTTATCCTTCTATGACGGTCACGTTGGTTATTCTGCGGATATCCTTATTTGAGATTTTATCATGCAATTCTTTCTACTCTAAGCATAGAGCTCTCCATGGCTCACTGAGGAACTTTTACATACGGACAACGGTGTAGGACCGTTTTTAAGTAGATATTAATTTTATTTCGTAGAAGTATTTTTTCGAATGTTTTCGTTACTTAAGATTTTTCCATTAAATTTTTAAGTACTTACCAAATGGATTACAAAATCTATTTTAAAAAAAATCAAACAGTTAACAAAGAAATTAAGAATACAATTAAAATTGTTCGAATACTAAATACACATACTCCTATCTTATTTAACGACACAATTTAATCGCTTAATAAATACCTATTACTGCTGAATTTAACTATCGATCCTTATTACATCATATGCAATTTTTTTTTTTAATAACTCGAGGACGGTTAACGTGAAAGTCCACTTTCACTCATATTGTTTAATTTTTCTTTACTTTCTTCCTTACCGTTGTTCAATACGAGCTTAATATTTAATAAATTATTGATATTATATAACTACAAGCTTTGAACCGCGACATCGTCCGCGTGACCGTGGCGTATTGGGATATGTTTACTGACCAGAATAAAAGGCAGCCTATATCCTTCTCCATCCCATGTAGTATTTGCATATAAACTTTCATATCGATTGGTTAAGCCGTTAAGGCGCTATTAGGTAACAAACCCACTTTCACATTAATAATGTTAATAACAATACCTAACCAAAATATGAATATCTATACTTGAAAAACATTTGTCTTAACCCATTATCAAAGTACAGCTAAAACTCCTGAATCTAGAAAACTGAAATTTGTAACATAGGTTTATTTTATAATGTAAGAAAGGATTTTTGGTAAATTATAATGGGGTTTTGGTCATTATAATGGGGAAACACAACAGGAGCGGGGGGACTATTCATCAGGAATTAACATGATAGTTTCCAGTATCGACCTGGTTGGGTGTATACTCAATTGCCACGCGTGCAAAGCCACATGCAAGAACTATAGTAATATAAGAATGGAATGAAGATAAGAATGGATAAGAATAGGTACTTGCTCTACTTCAATTGGAAATAGTTTAGACTTGAATAACAAATTTAGAGCTCGGATTCAAAATATGTTTATGTGTAAATAAAATACATAAAAACATTCGTATTCTTTGGCGATAACTATATTAGTTGATAGGACCCATTCCATTTTCTAGTATCTAGAAATTATTTGTTCAAAACAATACATTCAACTTATTCAATCGATTGATGTGTTATATTCTTTTCTTTTTCTATCCAACGGGTCGCTGTAACTATAAATCTTCTTAATTGTTCTGTATATTTGTGTGCAATCTTCTGCACTTGTCCTTACTACTGTTATACTTCTAGCTTATTCGTGCTTTAATAAGCACGAACTAGAAATATAACATGACATCCTCTAAGAAAGGATTTTTGGTAAATTATAATGGGGTTTTGGTCATTATAATGGGGAAACACAACACCACGCGTGCAAAGCCACATGCAAGAGCTATAGTAAGATAAGAATGGAATAGTTTAGACTTGAATAACAAATTTATTAATTTGTTCAAAACAATACATTCAACTTTAAGCACGATCTTCTGCACTAGAAATATAACATGACGTATTAACGTCCACTTCAAATAATAGTATCAGTACCGGATTTTAGAATATCTTATTTTTTTTTTATGAACGAAAAAAATCTTCGCGCAAAACAGAAATTATACGAACTATGATTGTCTAATATTTGAAGTACACTTAATAGTGAAAAAAAAAATGAAAAGTGCGAATGGACCAACAACTATAAAATTTTCAACCTTTGAAACTACGAGTATTATTAAGAAATTAAGAATAGGATTATGAAACTAGTATTTTATAATTTCATAATTCATTCATAACCTACTTATTTGAAATTTTAATGCTTTATTGTTTTGCGTAAACATAGTTTTGAGATAGAGATTACAATCATACATAATATTATCATCATTATAACAACCTCATATACATATAAAACACAGGTCTCGGGAAAATATTAGGCAATAGTTTGTTTCAATAGAATTTAATGAAAATGTAAGCAAGTTTTATTTAAATTATTACAGCAACTTTATAAATGAAATTAACGATAATTCCAAACATTCAAAGAAATAATGACACGATGACATTTAAGCAAAATAATTTAGATAATAGAACCTGGAAATATTGATTAAAGACCCCTCATATATTTTTTTTTCTTAAATATCCCTCATGTACAAACATAGTCTATTAACGATTTTATTATATTAATAATATGAATATATATGTAGACTTTTTAACCCAAAATTTTTACTTTTCCGTGTGATTTTTTTAATATTTTCTTTTATACAAACCTTCACTTGCGCTTGCATATATAGTCTGCAAATGCTATTTATTTATATAGATTTTCCTTCCCTTGTAATACACCATACTTTGTTGCCCTTTTTTTTAACTAGGGTAAAAATCTTCCAAAGAGACCCATCCGCCGGCGGAACGACGAATGGGGATTGGGGGTACTGGGGGATTTTTACCCACTAAAAACACCCCGATATTCCTCACGGCGCCTACCCGCCGGTGAGTGAGACTCGCGACTAGCAATCTTCCTAGTCACCGGCATACTTTGTTGCCCTAGAGCTTAAAAAA